GAAAAACTTTAAAATTATAGTACTTGAAACTCATCATGTTTGATGCATTCCTATACTCTTAAACCATTAGATTTATTTTCAATATTCATTTTTAAAAAAATATTACATAGATCTCATATGATATTAAATGGTGATTCAAATGATTTTAGCATTAAAGATTCTAACAAAAACACTAACGCTGGTGGAGCCGGGAAAGAGAAGTATTATTGCATCCACTGTAAAGTGGCTGGTCATTCACTAGAGAGATGTAACAAGGGTTAGTGGAACTAAACCCAACATGCACACACACTGGTATGTATGGACATAGTTTAGAAGCATGCTACAAGTTGCACAGTTGCCCTAAGGGATACAAGAATTGAGGGAAAGGGAGAGAAACAGTGGTAAACCAGATCTCTGGAATTGAAGAAAATGAAACTGGTGAGGCTGGAATCTGCAACATGATTACCCAAGAGCAGTATACCCAATTGTTGGCATTGCTCCAGCAAAACAGCGCCATGGTCAATATGGTGCAGGCTCGAGCCTCAAGCTGCACTGAGGCAAATCTGCCTGGCTTTTCAGGTAAGTGTTTTTTCCTAATAATATATGTGTTGTTGAATAAGAGGGATTGGAGACGGTCCCCTAGATAACTGACACTAGTGTTTCAGACCACATAGTATGCACACCTGATTTATACACAAAAGACACGGTAAGTGTCACCTATACAGTAGGGTTACCGAGTGATGAGAGAATTAAAGTTGTTTGCACAAGAACTGTGAAAATCTCAGAGGACTTGGTCCTCAACAATGTGCCAGGTGTGCCAAGTTTCAATTTCAATCTGATATCGACCAAGAGACTAACCAAGGATTCACAGTGTTGCTTGATTTTCTCATCTGAAATTTGTGTGATACAAGGTCTTTAAACATGGAACGGGATTGGAGTGGGTAAATAAAAGCGTGGATTGTACACTTCGCAGCAAAAGAGGGACAACTTTTGCAACAAGGTCTAATAGGTGTTGCAACCCAAGAGGGTGGGTGGATTAAGAACAGATTTTCAATTGTGGCATCACCGACTAGGACACTCAATGTTACCCAGAATAGGTCTTTTTTTGAAAATGCTCAAATATATAAAACATGAACTTTGTGATGTATGTCCCTTAGCTAAGTTGAATAGATTACCTTTCGGTATTAGTGAATATAAATCAGAACATTATTTTGAGCTGATTCATTGTGATATTTGAGGACTTGCAATGAGGTCTCCTATGAGAGATATAGATATAGATATTTTTTGTCTGTTGTTGATGGTTACAGTAGGTGCACATAGGTCTTTTTGCAAAAAAAGAAAACAAGTCAAAAGCAGGGCCAGGACTTTCAGAACTTTTATGCATGGGTGGAAACTCAGTTTGGAAGGAAGATTAAAACAGTAAGGAGTGACAATGGTAAGGAATTTCTCATGCATGATTTCTATTTAAGAAAAGGAATTGCGCACCAAACAAGCTGTGTTGAGACGCCTCAACAGAATGGGAAAATGGAAAGGAAACATCAACAGATCTTGAATATGGCTAGGACACTTAAATTTCAAAGTAGTTTAGGATTAAAGTATTGGAGTGATTTCATACTAACAGCTGTGTAAATTATCAATAGGGTTCCCTCCTCTGTGATCCATAGTAAAACACCATATGAGAAGGTATATAAGAAGAAGCCATCTTACAGTCACATGAGGATATTTGGTTGCCTTGCATTTGCTTCTACCTCAACAAACAACCAGCACAAATTTGATCCAAGAGCAAAGAAATGTGTTTTTTGGTTATCCCCATGGAACTAAGGGGTGCAAGCTGTTTGACATGGAGAATGGTAAGACACTTATATCTAGGAATGTTATATTCTCTGAGTGGATGATGCCTTTCAAAAGAAAAAAAATCTGAAGAGTTGACTGCAGGGGACCAGAATCAGATAACTGCAGAACTGGACATGAATAGGGATATCAGACCTATTAATGAGGTAAATAGCAAAATTCGAAGAGGCAAAAATGCAGAAAGGGAAACAGAAGAAATGTAAACAGAATCAAACGGAGACAACGATAATACAGAAGAAAATGAAATGAATGAAGAGGAAGAACCTACTGTGGAGGAGATGGAATAACCATCACGGCTGAGAAGGTCAAGCAGGGAAAGGAGACAACCTATATGGATGAAAGACTATGTCTTGGAAAAGGCCATGAATGTGACTGGAAATCAGAGAGTAAAAAAGGAATCAAAACTATAGAAGGTAAAGCTGTTCCTTTATCTTTATGCATGAGTTACAATAAACTAAATACTATAAATAGAAAATTTGTACTTATAGTGGATGCACAACAAGAGCCCAAGAGCTATCAAGAAGCATGCTGAGACAATGAATGGGTCAATGCAATGAAGAATGGAACAGAAGCACTAGAGAGAAATGAGACCTGGATCATCACAGACCTGCCAACCAACAAAAGGTGGTTGGGTGCAAGTGGGTGTACAAAATCAAATATAATGCAGATGGAACAGTGGAAAGATTAAAGGCCGGACTTGTTACGAAAGGATACACACAAAAGGAGGCCCTAGACTATCATGAAATGTTCTTTCCAGTGGCTAAAATCACCACAGTAAGGTTAATGCTTTCTTTGGCAGCAACAAAAGGGTGGCACCTGAGGCAGTTTGATGTCAACAATGCATTTCTACATGGGAATTTGGATGAGGAAGTGTACATGGAGCTGCCACCCGGGTACCAAATCACAGAAAATTCAAAGGTATGCAAACTGAAGAAAAGCATTTATGGATTAAAACAGACATCTAGGCAATGGTATGCGAAGTTCTCATCATTTATTTTGTGACAAGGATTTGAATAATCGAGGGCTGATTATAGCCTCTTTGTAAAACAAGAAGGGGAAAATTTCACAGCAATACTGATTTATGCTGATGATGTGATTATGATAGGGAAAGATTTGAAAACAATTGAGGCATTAAAATTGGACTTGGATGAGAGATTTAAGATCAAGGATCTAGGAAAGCTTAAATACTTCCTAGGTATAGAAGTAGCAAGATCAAAGGAAGGGATCCATATTTTTCAAAAAATGTATGCTATAAACCGTTTGACTGAGGCTGGAATATTAGAATCAAAACCTTCAAATGTGCCTTTATATTAAAATTTTATTATGTATTTAAGAGTTATAAGCTATGTATTCGTGGTTGTTTAATTTAGTAGTTATAGAGTAGTAGAGTAGTGGTGTCTTAATTATAAAGTAGTGGTGTTTTAACCATGAAGTAGTGGCCGTGAAATAGTAGTTTCTTAATTTCAATAATTATAAATTAGTGGATTAGTGATTTTCTTAGTGAGTTAGTCGTTATTTATTTTTTGTAACGTTTGTTTATTTTTGTCTTATTTAAATGGACTGATTTCATCAATAAAAATCACTTGAAGTTAGTTTGATTATTCTATTATTCTATTTCTATATCTGCTCAAAATAGACACTCTTTTGATATGGAAGTGTTTTTATGAATATATCCGCTACTTGTTCAATTTTTTCCTTCAACTAGAATATTATTATTATCTCTAAACTTGACTGTCATTTTTTCCATATGATCAAACTATTTAAATATTATCTTCATGTCTGCAGTTGGTTCTTCTCCAACCGAACTCATTTGACTAACTATTGTCATCGTTCTAGATAAAAAATCTTGCATTGATTCATTGCCTTTCATGATTAAATTTTCAAATTTATGCTGAAGAGTTTGGAATTTTACGACTATTACCTTTGATGAGTTTTGAAACTCTATTTGTAGAATTATCCATGCTTTGCTTTGAAGTCATGGTGATCCCTTTTTTTTTTTTTTACAAAGTCTTTTGACTCTCAACTTGATAGTATAGGTTGCACATAACTATTCTCTGACGTTATGGCTGCCTATTGTTGCTGCAGAACAAAAAAAAAACTATTAATTTTTTTTAGTTCTGACATTGTTGTTGGAAAAAAAAATATAAAAAATTTCTATTCAATAAAAAAAGGAATGCAGATATATAACAATTTATAATCTATATATAGGTAGTGAAAGAATCGTCTATTTAACGCTATTTAACTGTTTATTTATCACAATCTAATTTTTTATTATTTTATTTTAATTTTTTATAACCGTTAATTTATATTTTTATTCGTAACCAATAATTTATGATCGACTGACTGCTGAAGGTGCATACGTGTGTATATATCTTTCTCGTGCGTATGTATATATTCGTTTAAGCGAAATGACACCGTTTGTAATTAGGGTAAAAGATTATCTTCTTCCCTCTCATATAAAAGGAAAATAACATATTTTTTGGTCAGTTCGACAGAAAGAAAGCTCTTGAACGGCTGCTAGGATGTGATTTCTTCGTTCAGGTAAAGTTTCTAATCATTTTTCCTTGTTTTTCTTGTTGATTTGGTGTTTTTTAGTCAGAAAAATTACACTATATCTTATTTATATGTGAGTTAGAGTTTTTAATTTATTTATATTTTAAATATAGGAGAGGGCATTTGAAAATAGATGGTTAGAATAGTTAGAAATTAGTAAAAGGCTTAGAAATAATACAAACATAATATTACTACGCAGAATAGAGTTGTAAGTAGTCTAAATTTACCAGTTCTCTATATGAATGACGTAACAAGTTAAGTTATTCACATTCACAGAAAAAACATTAGTTTCTCTTTTATCATTCTCTCTTTCATCAATTGACTCCAGTAGTTTATCATTATAGAAAGTAGCTATAATTAATAATATGTCAAATTTTAATTACTGTTGGCATGTGAATTTTGTTTTCTATTAAAAGAAATTCATCTATTTTTATATTTAGATATAAACGATCGCACACAGAATTTATTTAATACATATTTTACACCTACACATCCAGCTTTATATTTATATATACTTTTATACTACACCCACCCACACATATATACATATATATATATATATACCCAGCATACATACATGTTTAATCTTACAACACCCACCTTCCCTCTGTAAACATCCATTACACATAACAGCATGCCCGTTCCTCTTCTTATACCAATACAAATGCATTTACGTTACAAACATAGTACCACTTCAAAAATAATATCATAAAAATAAATATACATTTGATCTACATTGAAAACAGATTTATCTAGTTTTTAAATAACATACATTTTTAATTATTTTATAACTGTATTTTGATTAAATAATTACGAAGATGGATTGATATATTTTTATCAGAGTCAGAAGTCAACCACGCTGCCCAACCAGTTGCCAGTCGTGATGTTCACACCTCTTCCTCTTCGATTGATATTTGGACTTTTGGCACGGTGCGTCGTTGTCTGCAGCTCTTTCGGGTGTCCCTTGCTTTCTCTTCCAGCGTTTCCCTATCAATTAGGGTTTTTGGAGCTGATGGGAGAGGAGTTTAAATACTCTTGCCTACAAGATTCTGATCATCCGATCGGGTTGACATGACACTTGAAGGGTCGTTCGATCACAAACATGCGGATTGCTAATATGTGATCCTGCTCAGACTCCCTACTAGCGTGGCCACCACACAGCGTGACCCGATTGGCGAGCTGCCACATGGATTTTCCTACGTGGCCCACTTTTCTGAAATTAAAAAATGATCTTTAGTCACTTAAAATCTTTTTAAATTGGTCTTTTTTAATTCGAAAAAGGGGATAACTTCGAAATTTTTTTTCAAAGAAGTCATAATTTAATAATTTTAATACATTTGCATTTCTTGGTGGATTTTGTAATTTTTGATTTAATTAATGCAAACAATTTTTTTTTTTAAAAGAATTTATCTCTTAACTTATAAAATTTACTTATTTCCAAAATTCAATCAATTACAATCTCCTACCCCTTGTTTTCTTAAAAAAATTTGGTCATCCAAATTTGTACTACTAATAATTTGAATACTGTTATCCTTGTAATTTTCCAATGATCTCTTCACTAAGTGGTATGGTTATAATATTTTATGTGTATAAGAGAATATTATTTTGGTTTATGTTGAATTTTTGAATTCTTTAATGTCAAGCATCACCCAGGTAATTATCATTATCGTTTAACCTTATTTAGGAGCATCATGACTTGTTTGATCCTCACTCTAAATAGTCTTTGGTGTACATCGCATTCTCTATGCACCACAAGGATGAGTTTTTTTATTACAGAGAGAACTACAACACTTTGGTAGGTTTACTGTCTTGCAAAGTTCATATGCCTAAGTAAAAAAAAATCTCGAGCTTCTAATACTTAGGATTTGATGGTGCTTCATTCTAATTTTTCTTTTTTTAAACAAATTTAGTGTGGTTAAAGAAGTATCATTTAATTTAATACTATATTCATCATTAAGTTTCATGTGTCTAATTTAATTTATTTGTTTTATAATTTTTGATAATTAAAAACATGATTAGTTGAAACATATTTAGCGAGAAATGGAATCTATGATTATTACTGAAGATAATAAGGAATTTCTTTAGTGGAACGTCTATTCATTAGTCTTGTCATGAGTAGTTATGTTAAGTTTTACTTCTTGTAGGTACTAGGTTTCCAACATTTTCAATGACTATCCTTAAATATAATCACGAGTTTATCACATTATTAATATCTCCTTGTTGGTTTAGAGAGAGAAATCCTCTAAGTGTGGTGGTTATGATTCACCACGTTCCATTGCACTACATCGACAATATATATTTAGTAAGTTTATCTTAATATAATGTTTATTGTGGGAATATGCCCCTAAGATCATTTCTTTCACATATGAAAATTTACTCAAGAGTAACAAGAATTTTTAAAAAGAGTCCTAGTTAGGCATGTTTGTTTGATTTGTTAGAAGGGGTTTTTTTTTTGCATATGATTATTCAATTTCTTATGATTCTGAATCTTTATTGCATTTTTATGCATAATTTAGATATAAATTTCGAAACAATTAGGGTTATTTATTTTTGTTATGAGAATTCAATTAGAAATCTTCGAATAAAAATTTTGGATAGTTATTTGATTCATAACGGATTTAGTAATTGTTGTTTAAGGTAAATTTATTGAATCTTTTTTTTTTATTATAATATTGTCAAACTACTTCTACCATGTTTTCTTAAAATGCGTTTATATATATTTTTATAATTCTTTTATCATCTCCAAATTCTTATATGCTAATATTTTATTTAGCATCATTATTTCCTATATAATTTAATTATCATATCCATTAAGGTATTTCAGGTTTTATAAAATTGATGTTATTCATGTTTTTCTCTTTCACTATCTTTTATGTATTTAGACTTTCTTAGACACCTTTATACTTATACACACATCTTAACATCATTCATATGTATGTATACTCATAGTGATACACATTTAATGCTTTTACACTCACAGATGTATATACCCTCAGTTTTATACACATACTGTCTTACAAGCCCGTATTTGTATTTTATGTATATGACATGTGTTTTATATCGCACATACATATGCATATAGGCATGTAGACATATATACATGGACACACAACATGTATATACAACATATATATATATATATATATATATATATTATTCTTTCACCTAATTGCACATGCGCAGATGCAACTACACGCAGCTCATACCAAACCATTCACTCATAGTCAGATATATACACATATAACAACATACACACAACTTTAATTCCATAAACATAGCTATACATGCAATTACGTAGACACAAATCCTTAACTATATACATGTGTACATACAAACATACATACTTTCCTACAATGCATTAATCATGCTATATGAATTTTATGTATTTTAAGTGAACAAGAAAAAAAAAATAATAATAAATTAAGTGCGGAAGCTCAAATTCTTTAATTTAAGAATGAGTCCTTCAATTTTCCACTGAATTATTTTCTTTTTTCTGCTTGTATTTTGAGGATAAGCATTATCAAGTAAGTACGACTTATCATCTTGTCATGTTAATTACTTTTTATTTAACTAATTTTATTCATTCCTTTGGATTCTTTCACTATTTGTTTACAAGATGGTTTCATTGTCTCACCTATGCCCCCTTTTTATCTTTCATGACATGTTTAGCTTATTCCTACTATTCTATCCTTAATTATATAACAACCAAAACTCTTTAATTCATTACTAATTCATAAATCTCTAACCATTATTCAAACAAGAAAATTTTATTTAATTTCACATCTGTATTATATTATGATTATAATTCTACTAATCAATCTGCTTCCCTTTTTAAGTAATTTTAAAGCCCCATTTTCACTCAATACATTATATATATATATATATATGTGTGTAGATGCACAAATACATAATACAAAGTTATCCATGCACATATTTGTCCATACGCACATACATTTATATACATACAGATTTACATCAACCTATATATATTCACATGCACACACATTTGCACGCTGATTCATATACATATGTATGCATCCAGACCAATTGTATAACATATACACACAAATTTATATATACAAAAATATATACATATATATTTGTAAAATAATTTAAGCATAATGCGTACGGGAAATTGGAGCAGAAAAGAAAAGGTAAAGGGAAACATAATCATTCCCAGCATGTTCTTACCTGCATGAAATTCATGCTTCTTAATGTTAAAACTTAAGTTATAGTTTATTAATGGATTTAGAGATAAATCCTAAAATGGACAACACTCTACTCTCATAATTTGTTCTCCTACTTCTATTGATCAACTTATCGGTAGGAATTATTTTATTCATCATCTTCTATTGACTTTAGAGTGAAGCTAAAAACTTTTGATTCCAACATTTAATAAAACATCTTTTAAGGGGTCATGTCACCTAATCCTTTTTTTTTTTTTTTGCCTTATTTTTTATCAAAATCCTAAAACTTATATTACAAGGGATGGTTTTGAGGAATCTGGCTATGATATTAATTGTAATGATTCTTGAATGTACATTCAAGATTCTTGAATGTACATTCAATGGTTTTATAATTCATGGAATCAATGAAAACATTAATTTCACTCAACAATTTACACTAATTTTTCCATAAACATCCATTGTATGTATTTACATTACATGATTATATATACCCATGTGGTATTTATAGTCTACAAAATTCCAA